ATGTCTGGATTTTCTTCCAGAACCCGTTACAGCTGTCATTTCATCTCATATAAGAACAGATGGACGGACAATCCACTTTCATCAGTTTAAAGTTTGTTTTTTTAATAACTTTATGTTTCTTTCCATGAGAGAACATCAGAACAATCCACAAACAGATGACAAAAAAAAAAAAAAAAACATTTTGTCTTCTTAAAAACAGAAAAATAAAAATATAATCATCAGAGATGTTCCCATCTTGCAGTGACAGGTTGAACATGGCAAAATAAAAGGCGACACAGTTACCAAAGTGCCAAAGCGGACAATCCTTCCCTCCCACTACCCACAAAAAAATTACACTTTCAATCTGAAGCTGAGGAAGCTTTTCCACAAAACAGCCACAGAGAAGGAAAAGAACAGAGTAAATAAGCAGGGGATAAAATTACCTTTGTACAAAAATAGATCTTTTTCCCAAGTGAGTTTTTTCTTCTTTTTTTTATAAACTAGAACATTTAACCGTTTATGCAACAAACAAAGCAGTGATTGTGTCACAAGCTCAGCTTTTCCTGATTACACGTTTTCAACATACATTTGCTAAGCAACATATACATTTAGGAGAGTTTAATTTTTTTAAAGTTTTTTTTTTAATTTTTGCCTCTCCTGATTTTTCGAGGTCACAGAAAACGGCTCTAGCTGGTTTCTTTTGAGTTCAGAGCTGCTGCGCTTCTGCTGGTGGATTATTGTGTTTTTATTTTATTTCATTTTTAATAAAAGTTACAATCCAACCCTCCCCACCTGTATTTGTGATCATAAAAACACCTTTAAACTCCCACAGCTTAGGAAAATTCAGATTTTTTTTTCTTTTTTTTTTTTTTTCCATTTTCACTTTTGGAATATTCAATGAGCAGATCTGCTGATATATATTTATAAATATATACAAATATACATATTAACAAAATATAGCTTTATGTTATAAAGCATCCGTTTAGGTTTTCATTCTATGTGGACAATTATTTCCTCATCTTTTCCCACATCTATCAATTTCCTGCAGGGGGCGTGAACTTTTGCATGTCACACACACTTTATATGGCTTTTACACGACTGTTTCCAATCTTCGACAAGCCAGCCATAAATGAAGAGGATGTTCATATATATATATATATATATATATATATATATATATATATATATACTTTTTTTTTGAATATTTGGGAAACAAATCTTTGACTGTTTGAAATGAGCTTTTCTTGATTCAAATCAGAAAAGTCTACAAAACACAGAGCATATTCTGCATCAGGAAAACAAACATGTTTTCCCAGAATATAAATACTGTAAACTGAGCCCAAGCTGGCAGGTAATACTGTCACCTGGATAGGTTGCAAAAAACACAAACCACCGTGCTTAAGTTCATTTTAGCAATAAACATCACGCTGATGGGTTAAACTGAAGTTATTGCTACTTTCTCATTGCTACTTGTCTGCTCTGGCGCAGAGCATCTGTGACAATTAGAAAGTTGTGACAAAGTGCCTTCTGTTTGTCCATTTAAATACTTCTAGAGAACAATTTTCAAGTAATGTTGCAGCGCTGCTTCTCTTGCACCAGAGGGAGCTCTCACGGCACACAAAAATCACCACACTTCTTCACCTCAGCTCGAGGTAAATCCATCCAGCACATTTCATTTCCATCACATCTGACATTTCCGAGCTGGCTTTTCAACAGAAGGAATAACTGGAAACCATTTCACAAGATGGAACAACATCCAACCCGAAATAGTGAGGAAAAAAAAAACAAAACAAAAAAAAAAACTGATTTAAGCACATTCTACCGTTGGTGATTTATGTATCAATTCTCTGTGGAGCCTCTATGGGGCTACTGGAAAAGTATGAAAATTTCATAGTGCTTAAATATGTAATTATATGAGAAGGAAAACTAGTAAAACATAAGAGAAAGCGGTCAATATCCGACAGTGTTCAGCTCATAGAGTTCTGTTTTTTTTTTTCCTTTTGCACTCATTTCTTCTATATTTTACTTTTCACATTATAAGTTCTGGGTAGGAAAGAGAGAACAGGGAATATTGGTGAGCTGTTCCAGCCAGCTTCTACATATGGGGCCCACGTGAGTAAGTAATGAGCTGGAAAATGGGCCCCGAATAGGATTGTCACTGGGTTACATAACAACCCCATGTCAAATGCCTGCATAGGCTTGGTGTAGGGACAAGATGTGATAATCAATTCAGACCGATTTTCAAAGAATTCATGTCAGCGCCAGCTGTGAGCCACATATGGTGCCCAGCTATAGTCCCCAAAACCAAAGTCCACTTGATACGAGCAGAAGCGACGCAAAAAATGTATATGGGGCCCTTATGCAGTGGGGAAGGTCCAAACTGAGAAGCTATTTGATTTTTAACAAACTAGAATTGAATTTAGTTTTCATGAAAACATCATTTAGTTAACATACTATCGTTAGAACTGTTTGAAAGTTTTGAAATAGATTTAGTTAAAATTTTATTCTGCTACGAAATGACGATTTCTATTATTTTGTGCGTTGCAAAATGCTATAAATAGCATCCATGAGGTGAAAAGCGATTGCTGTCAAGAATCCAGGACTTGTTTGCTCTTGTTGCTTTTGAAATCTCAGCCCAACAGTTGATAAAAAAAACAGTCATTGTTTAGGTTTGTTCTGATTTACCATTTTCACACAGTCAGGAGTCGTGTGAATTTGTTTGGTGCTTTTTAGTTTGTAATTTCTGGTGGATTTATGGTGCGTTCCATTTACCTTGAAAGGTGAAATTTTCCTGGATGAAAGAATTAAATCAGGCCTATTTACCCAACTTAAAGCTTTTCAACTTCTAACTTGGAAACTGAATTCAGAGTAAAAACAGGACAGGCTTTTAGCTAACACATCACCTAACATTTCAGATGATTTGACGACAACCGTATTGAATTTTTGGGTTGGGATTAGTAAGTTTCTTGAGTTTTTTCTATAAAAAACTCAGAAATTTCACATTTCAAATAGAAATAAAATATAAAAGCCAAAGTTTTTGTAATTCCTAGTTTAGCCAGTCAATTTCTGCTTTGCTCCATAAAATCCACAACTTATTAGATACAAATAATTGTGATATAATTTCTAATTTAATCGCTGTAGTAGGGATTTTGCCCTCTACAGGACCAATCGAGCTCCAATAAAACCCCAAAATAATTCCTCTCTGTGTCATGCATTCAAGCAGTGAAGCCAAACATTGTACGTTGTTACAAGTGATTCAATATTATTGACACAAAAAAACTTTTTAAAGTGAAAAATAAAAATGTTTAGCTAATTTCTTCCAACTTGGAACTTGGAAAATTTGACTTCCAAGCACAAACGGAACGCACCGCTATCTGATGATTTCCACTAAGATGCTGAGCCGCTAATGGCTAAAGCTCATCTTTTCAGCTAATGGTTTCCGCTACCAACTTAGTTTATCTGAAGGTGATTAAAACAGATTAAAGTGAGTATCAATTTCTGAATAATAGAGACCCCCACCTCCCACACGTTTACTCTCGTTAAGCCGCTCTGTAGACAGTCTTTGGAAATGAACACTATGCATAGTTTCGCAGCAGCTGCAGCATTTAGAGAAAAGCAAGAAAGGGCGAAAAACAACGAAAGAACGCGGACACAAAACACGCTTACACATAAAGACCTTTAACATTTCAGTTCAACTTAAATGTCACTTGGTTGTCCAGAGAAGTGCACAGAGTGAATGAGTGTGTGTTCTTTTCAGGAGGAAAAGTACTGAGGCGTTCTTGAGCGGGAGAGTGTCAAACTCCACCGCAGAGGTCGATCACATCAACATCCACTCTCCATCTAGAAACCCAATTACACTGTCATGAGGTTAAGTGCCAAGTAACAAACAAACAAACAAACAAACAAACGATGGCTCTGCCACAACAAACAAGCGCTCTTCCCGTATACTCTAAATCCTACATGAGTGAATGGAAACAGAGGTATTTGTGCATTACTGAAAATAAGGTCAATACTGTTGTTTCAGTACAGGTAGATACGAGGTGTTGGAAAGAAATAAGCGATGCAACGAGCAGAGGGATTTCTGAGCGTGGGGGTGTGTCAGCCTGGCAGAAATTAGCATGAAATGTGAGGCAGAGAGGGGACTGTGAGGAGCTCAGAGTCTGACAGAACGATGACATTTCCTCTTGTGTGGGACTGTGTGTTGAGGAAAAAAAAAAAAACAACCCCCAAAAAAAAAAGTCTGCAAGAAGTTGACGTGTCGTCCCTGCACCTGCTGGAGGCCTCCTGGAGCATTCAATGACGCTCAAGTCTTATAAAGCTAATTTACATCAGTTTATGGGCACAGAGATTTGCAGAGATTGTACTAAACAGGATTTCCCAAGTCATTCTGAGAACTTGAGGGTTGATTTGTGGACTGCTAAGACATCCTTCCCTAACGCCGCACAGTGCTGGTACAGTAAGACATGGTTGGATCTGTTGGAATTGGCCAGAGACCTGAGGTTTGTGAGAACTTGACCTCTTGTTAAGCCACTTCTGATTTCTATGCTGCAAGCTCACTCTTCCAAAAAAAAAAAAAAAAACACCTGGTGCAAGACCTGACATGTTCAGTCAGATTGAAGAGACAAGTTCCTTTGCGTTGATGTGTTGTTGTTGTTGTTTTTCCCCAAGCTGCCCAGTCCTGAAAAGCAAAAAAAAACAGGCTCAGATCCCAGATTAAACATCCCACAGGTTCCACAGAATGTGTGATTGTCCCGATCACAATGCCTTTGACATCTTCGCTGTTTGCTGAACACTGTGGGTGTTGAAAACATGATCGTCTCTGTTGTTTTCTCATCAGGGGGATCCGACAAGCAAAGACGAAAACCATGGCTCAGTATGTTTATGTCCTTGTTCCAGTCCTTTCACTTACGTTGATATTGTTACATATATATATATATATATATATATATATATATATATATATATATATATATATATATATATATATATATATATATATATATTCTTATTTATATATTTTACAAGGTATAAAAGAGACCCATATTCATGATGGATTCCTCGTTTTGAAACACTTCAGAGATGGTGAACAGAGAAGATGGATGGAGGGACAAAAGCAAGAAGGGAGATGTTTTCTTTTTGTCGTTTATTTTTTAAGTCTGCCCTTTCGTAGATGTTCTGGATCCAAGGCAGCTGGGGTGATGCATGTTGGGGGTTTAAGTGTGGGACGGGGGCTCGGGGGCCCATGACGCCGAGGGTCAGGAGGGGTCACTCCTATTATGTCATTTGATGAGGAGCTTCTAGCATCTCCATCAGGAAGGTGTCGATGGGTGTGTCGCCAATCAGCTTGAAGAAGAAAAGGTGCTCCAAACACTTGAGTCCGATGGAGCGCAGCGCTGGTAACCGCAGCAACAGCTTAGCGAACCTGTTCAGACATCATACAAAAAAATATATACATGTTAATGGTTTGAATTAATGGTGAAATTATTATTATTTTTAACACAAGACCTCACATATTTCTTTCTTTCTGACTGAGATCAGCAGCTGGTTGTCAGCCACGGCGCACATTACATGCACCTCCAGTTTGCTTGCTACTGTAGTAATTATTTTATTTTATTCTGAAACCATCAAAAGTAAATGTTATGCCACACATGGCTCTAGAGGTTTAGTACTCAAGGGAGGAAGTGAATCCAGGTGAGGGAGAAAAATTGAAGATATTGTTTCGTTTCCAAGATATTTTTTTGTCACAGAATACGAACAAAGTCTTGCTTTAGCTCCACAGGGCTTCGTTTTAGGTCCTCTGCCGTTTTCTCCACATACATTACCATTGCGTTACGTTTTAAATGGTTTTCTGAGGATACCCAGATTTATTAACCTAAAATAAAAAAAAGTAACTTGCATTGTCTTAACTCTAGATGAAGCTGGAAGAATCAGACATGTAAGAAAGTTACATTTTTTGATGTGTCTAAACAGAGAAATGTTGAAGTAAATTATGTACAGCATTTTATTTTCTGAATATTACATCGTAGAGCGATGAGAAATAATTAACAATATGACATTCTCGGACTTGGTGGTGTCTTGTTGGGATCCCTAGGCCTAAATAATTTGTACAAAAGTGGATAAGAAATCATCAGCATTTTAATATAAATAATTTAATGCTGGGAAGCAACAGCACATAAAGACTTTATGAAAGGAAGATTTCATCTACATAACATAGAACATATGATATTGTTCATGTGATTCGTTCGCTGCTTTTTCATCTCACCTGCCTGGCTGCTCTGGGTATTTCTGTTTGCAGTAAGCCTCTAAAGATGCGTAGACTTTCTCTCTCAGCGCTTCCACCTCACCTGGGTTGGACAAACCTTTAGAGTCTGTAAACACACAAGAAGAAATAACCTGGGTTAGATCAGACTTCACTACAGTCAACCGGTGCTTCCTCATTTTCGTACGTTCTGCTGAAGGTCGTGCCAAAAGTGGCAGTTGATAAAATAAATATTTATGTAAAAAAAAATAAAAAAAATAAATGGAAATCCATTAAGTTTATACATATATAAATACACACAAATATTGTTCAGTTACATTTTGTGTCAATTTTATGGGAAAACTCAGAAAACTGTCTCAATAATATTGTAGTCCTGTGTTTATTGTACTAAGTGCTAAATAATAAGGCATTAAAGCCTTGTGGCCGAAAATATTACTAAAATAAGTGGTTCAATTTTTAACATTTTAAAATGAAACTGCATTGCAGGCTTCAAAACAACTAAAATCACACAGAAAAGGACAATGAGTCATGTAAACACGTTTTGTAATAATGCAGTGACAAACAACGTTTAGCTCATTAAGCCAATAATAACTGGATTGTATTTATTTACTTTTACCAAGCACTGTAATTTTCCTGGATAGATCGGATGTGACTTCCACATTAAGCTTTAACCCTCTGAGCTCAATCCAAACCCGCTCGGCCCGGTCCGGGTTGGTCCAATTAAGGCTGCACTAATTTAGGCTCAACAGAAAGACACTGGAAAACAAACACGTCATTGATGGAAAATTTCTGCTTGACAAAGCACTGTACTTTTAATAATGGCTGGACTAGTTCGCATGGTGTGGGAAAGGAATGACTGAGGGCCCCTTTTAGCGTCATCCCCCCTCTGCGCCCACAACCCTTTGCGCCCTCAGATAGTCCAAATCTCGCAAACCGCTAATTAACAGGAATCAGGCAGCAAAGCAAACCGAGGTCAGTGAACCTGGATGTGGCTGGAACAAAATGTTGAACAAAAGGGGATCAGCACGTCTGGGGTTAGCAGATCCACTGTGGCCCCTGGAGGGACCAGGGAGGCTCCTGTATGGAGTCATTTAACACCCTGACTCACATTAACAGGAAGCTTTGGTAAACATGGATGACATTTGACTTGATAAGGTTTTGTAAGACATGCCTCTGTAATAGGCTGAACCTCAAATCAGAAAGCTTTTTTTCCATCTTTGACACAAACTTTACAGAAAAATACAAAAAGTGAACAATATAGAAGCTCCCATATGGGTTAAAATGAAGAAAAAGGATCTCCAGGGTGTAAAATTGTTTAACAACGTAATACTTGGATGAATGGATGGACAGAATATATATTCCCATATATTTTTGCAGTTTTCTTTATGAAAAATTGGCTTCTTTCAGTATTTATAGGTGACTAGAAATCAACTCTGACCTCCAAACCTACACATTCATCCATAAGAAATGACACCAAGCTCTAGAGATGAACTGGGGTTGTGTCTGCATACAGGAGGACTTGGAAAAAAAAGAATCTTATCTCTAGGCTACCTTAGCAGAGAATATTATTTATTTTTATCCATCAAAGTAACTCCTGAAGAACTCTTTGGAGCTTCACTGTGTCCTAAAAGTTTACAGAAATCCTGACAAGTGGAGGATGAAATGAAAATAATGTTTGCTTGCACGGAAAACGAGCGGTGTACTTTGTGGGAAATAAAGAGAGAGAGATGTTCTTTTGAAGGTACAAAGTCTGAACTGGGGAAAAAAAAGAATTCAAAAAGTGCTTCAATATACCTTCAGAAAGTTGGGAAAACAATTCAAGAGCATGTTCAAATAGCATAGAAACACTCTGGCTTTTGGAAGCAAAATCCAAAGAAATAATGGCTAACTCGAGACTTTTGGACAGCACTCAATATATGAATAAATACAGGGCTCTTGCGCCCTGTTATTACCCTCTTTAGAAGCATAATTGGGTTTTTTATGCTCCTCCTTTATAACCCTCACTTTGCAGACCTTTTTCAAGGCTCCTGCTGAAAGTGAAAGCTTGCTTGTGATTGTTACCTGGGTTGAAAAGGACGATGGCTCGGAGGCAGCCCAGCTCAGTCTTATCCATCTGCATGTCTCTCATTTTTGACACCAGCTCTGTGAGCACCCTGCACACAAGAAATGACAGGAGCAAGATGAGAATATATATATATATATATATATATATATATATATATATATATTATATAAGATAAAGGCAGATCTGTGGCTTTCCAAAGACCAGAACTCCAGTTCAGTTTTTTTTTTCTTGGCTACTGTTTTATGTCAAACAACCAAACAAGAACCAGAAAAGTTCACATCACAGAAAACCGCTTGACTGTAATTGGTACATTTTTTTTTTTTTTTTTGCTGCTAACTGCTCTTCAAGTTAATTATCCAGCGTATATGTATATTAAAAATATGTTTTCAACCGCTAAGCAGCTCACATCTGTTTAAAAATAAACGCACACGAACACACTGCGAGGCACCGTAAGATCAGTGGAAAAGTTTACAACCCTACAGAGTAATTATATTTAGTTGGTGGTTTTTATACAGAAAGAGCCGCAGAGCAAACACAAGCTGTAATCCAACACCAGCACACCCACTGTCTGCGTGTGACATCACAGGGTAGGTTTGCCCGAACTCCTCACCCCTCTCTGACTGGGTCACACCCTCGCCGTGCCGCCTGTTCTTATTTTCTCCTTTTCTTGCAGGCCCTCAGGATTGTTAAGTCAATTGTGACTCACTGCTAATTCGATTTGCTCCGAGGAGGAACGACAGAGCCAAAAGAGAAAAAAAAATAGAGACTAAAGTGTGTAAGTTAATCAGTCTCTTCATTTGTATGGCGAAAGAGAAAGAAAGGAGTTGATAAGGAAGCATAATCTGTGCTCTGGATCTTAATACTTGCCACAGTTAATGCAGAGATGGAAAATGTCCTGTGGCCCAACAACTGGCCTGTTGACAGCAGCTGTCTGTCCTCGGCTGGCTCCAGCTCACTGCTCATTTTCCTGATAAATAATCCCTATTGAATTATATGGATCAATAAAAAAAACAACTAAACGTCAGAACAACTCAGCAGATTAAACGCCGCCGTTCTGCAGCAAAGCATTGTCTTTTTGCAGAACTCGGCCGCGTCCAAGTTTCAACTGCCTGATCCAAACGGTTACCATCCAGTGGCATGAAATCTTTTGGAATGTTCAAGAACAACCCAGGAACCAACAGGCTTTTTTTCCACACTTAAATTTTTCATTGCAGTCATTTATTGCATCAAAAAAAAAAACAAAAACAAAAACAAAAAAACTATCTGTGCTACATAGGAATAATAATAATAATCTCCCTTTTGTTAATTTATGAATTAACTGTGCTTAACCAAGTCTTTTGGACAGTTAAACTGAATTTGATTGCAGCCAGACCTGTTGAATCATGAAATCAGATAAATATAACCAGTCTGACAACATAAAGTGGATTAAATGATCTGACCAACTAACCAACAATCATAATTTGCTGAACAGTTCTGCACAACTAAATGTTTTGCAACAAAGTGATGTTTAAAAGTACTAAAAAAAAACAATGTTTTCATCATCAATCCTGAAATAAGTGAGTCAAATAACTCACAATAAATTAGGACCGACAACACAACCTTGTGGAACACCACAGGATTAAAATCAGTCTAGGTGGCTTTGAAATTCAATTCTGGAAAAGAAATCCATACCTCAACCAGATATGCCCACCCAATATTTTAATATTCAGATAAATATAGCATGATCTATAGAGCCAAAAGCTGAAGATGTGGTCATTTTGACTGTAGATTTTCTTGCATCACTTCACGTAAGTCATATATTAGAGACGGAGGAGCACTGACTCAGTAGAGTGGCTTTTCCAAAAGGTAGAACAACCTTTCTCCAAGATATTTAAGTCATCATCTAAATCTGCTGTGCTACAATTTAGGAGTTTTAGTAATACAAAGGAGTTTGGACATGAGCCTATTTTTTCTATGTGCTGGTGAATCAAAAATGGTTTAAAAAGGCCAAACATCTATCAACTATTTCTACATTAGAAAAATGATATTTGTGTTGAAGTGGTTTCTAGGTTACTTGGATTTCCATGGTATAGTCATGAAAACCAAAAAATAAAATTTTTGACATGTTTTGGAATACAAGCTTCACTCAGGGAGTCAAACAGAACGTAATGAACCAGCAGCCCTTTTAAAGACAACAAGAGCCCCCCAACAGATGTGCACCATCTGAATTAGATCACCCATCAACAAGACTCCACCCTAAAAATTAACATGAGTATCTCGTTTAAAGAACAGCAGTAGGAATCTCCAGGGGTTTAGATTTGTAGGCAAAAACCTTGATACCACAGGAATGAACTAAAAACAAAACTGCAGAAAAAGACACTCATGAAAACGTAACGCACACAAGCTTTATTTAGTCATTCATGAGAATGGGACAAGCTGAAAGTTGTGCACAGAGTACTGAACAAAAGACATATTTTATCTAAACATTTCACTTTTACTTCACTGAAGTCGGCGGGTTTTCGACTTAAAGCTCGAGTCGTCTTTGTCATGATCTTACACGCTTTGTACACTTCTCTAAATCCTTCTGAAATAACTCAAACTGCGTGAATGATGTCTGTCAACAGCCTGGTGTGTTTGTTTTTCTTTTGCTGTGTCACTCAACAATATTTAGAAGGTGTTCTGAAAGCTCAGTTGCTTTCTCATTTTAAAATGTGAACTCTTGTATGACATGGACCCACAGAGCATGTGGGTAAAGATCTTCACTTGGGCGAGGTTTTCATTTTTCTGGAGCTCTCTTTTGCTCGATCATGTGTTGTTGAGGAAGAGTTTTATTTGGCAGTTGCATCGTGGCTGGATTTGTTGTCTTTCCACTTATTGACTACTATTCAAAGAGTTGGTTATTTGTGTGAGGAATGTGTTTTATTCAAGATTATTCTTCCTTCCCGTTTGGATAAGACATCTATGGGTGTTGATTCTGCAGTCAGGAATGTATACATTTGCAACTTTTCCACTTCTATTGCTTCTGCTCAAGTTGTGCTGCAGCAGAACACATGCCATGGTCTCATGCGATATCTCCGACAGCCAGTCAGTTCACTGCCACGCATTGTCAATAACAACCACCAGGGTGGTTCCTGCTACGCTCCAAACTTGGCTGTGACTGAACTTTGCATGGATTTTTTGACATTTTCTGAAGCAGCTCAGGGTTCTCTCTGAGAGCCCTGATGCACCCAGGTGTAAATATTTAATACAGTGGAGTTAATCAATAATTTCTGTGCTGCTTCACCCTCAGCGAAGCAACTCTGTGGTTCGCAGTCAACGTAATGTTTTCATTGAAGAACCAGAAATGTCATATGCTGTCAAAAAGATGAAATTACTTTACTTAAACGTACTTAGTAAAGGCTGAAAACGTTCCTCGGTTTCAAAAGCTAGTTAGCTGCACAGACAGAGAAAAACTTTCTCGACTCGGTCAAAAGAATTCTCGCTACCAACAAACTTCTTCTTCTTATTTTTTAAAATATTATTCAGACAGAGCGACACATTTCAAGCATTTTAAGATACTTTTGATGATCCTCCCTGTGGAAACTTCCGATTGGACCTCAAGCTATCCTCTCATCTTTCCTCCCAGGCTCTGTGTGCGAGTGAACTGCAAGCTTTGCTTCAATCAGAAAGATGACTGTGAAATAATATATTATTATATTAAAAATATATTTTAATTTCTGAAGTACTAAGATTTTGGATGATACTAATTTTAGACAATATTGCTTTATGCATAATGTGTCTTGCTTGACCCATTATGCAATTTCTCTAGATTTATAAACCAAAAAAGTAACTCCAACTAACAGCCTTTTTAGGAACTGAAAAAATAGTAGCATTGACCTGTCAAAGATGGCTCCCACTCCGGCACTATGGGCGCTGTTGCGATGCACGTGCAGTCCCGTCGCCAGCAGAATCCCGTCCTTTACTGCGATGGAACGGTGCGAAAATGATGCAATGAGGAGTTCATTCCAACCTGAGATGAGGAGAAGGATCAAGGCAAAGGATAGTTAAAAAAAATACAAAGAAAAAGGTAAATCCAAGTACAAAAGTTCACACAGCGTTCAAGCAAAATTAAAACGACAACAAAGGCAGAATTCCAATGAATCAATTAAAGCCGAGCCGCAAAAACCCTGCAGCTCCCTCAAGCACAAGCATCAGGTTATCACTGAGACATTGGAATCATGCTTTCTAAGGAGACAAGCGTGTAAAAAGGATGAACTGCGCCTGCCATCACAATGAAGACAACAAGCTTGATGTGCCAAGGCAGGGGGCCTGACACGGGGGAGCGGCACAGACGAAAGACGCCGGCGGATGAGCGACTGGGTTCCTTTAACTGTTCTGCCTGGCAACAACTCACCTCTTCTCCCTACAGTTGAGTTTGTCCATGAGAGGAGCCGTGATGCTTTTATCTGTGATACAGCAGAACTAAAGTGGTTATTTATAGAAAACTTGGGAGACGAGAAGAGACGAGCTCTGCAGAATAATATCTCACTCCAGTTTGGTGACGTCTCTGCGTCGTTTTATGTGTGAAGAGTTGAGGAGCAATCATGGGAGGAGGGGATTTTTTTTCCCTCCCCCCGTTCGTTTTCTTAGGGACGGACAGATAACATAATGGTGTAATTTGGAGTGACAGGCAAAGAATGAAGGCAATGTGTTGCCATCCTACTTGTGATGTTGGCGAATGTAGCTGAAGTGACAGATGATTCACTCTGTACTGCAAGTAGCCGCATCAGTAATACTTAGCAGCTAGCTGAAGTCGTTTTCCACAAGATGCAAATGGAAACTGGAGGCCTGTCTCTTGATTTAGGTCACACAATCTGGGTTGGTAGAAACAGCTTTTAGCCCACATGAATAGGGATGCACTGAGTCAAAGCTATTGTTTTCTGCATTTATTTCTTAGGTGTTCATATAATCACACCAACTGAATCAACCATAACTTTCAATCCCCCACAAACTCCAACTCAAACAGAGCATTTCAAGATTTCCCAGTAGAGAATCTCATACTTGAATCTAATCTTGAACCCTTTGCACTTGGTCGTAATGTGCTCCAGTGATTGATGAAGACCAGGGCTTGAAGATACAAACTGTACCCAGTCATGCGCGACAAGTCAGTCCGAGGTTCCTGAACCAGAGACGCTCCTCTCCAAGAATGTGCCATGAGATTCTGTCCCTGAACACCACAACAAGATAGACGAGAACTGGGAGTTTGGAAAGAGTCCAAGTCACAGTGAAGACAAGTTCTAGTTTGCTGAGAGTGTGGGAACATCTTCTGATTTCATAATATTAGGACCAAATAGCCCTTAAAAGATAATGCACACCGTCGACAGATCAGTAAAGATCACACCACTCCTCCGGTAAGTTGTTGTGAATTTACGTGAATCAGCTTTCAGGCTTAATGCAGATTGGAATTATTTTTGTGCCGCTCGATGCATATTCCACATGTATCAAAGATCATTGTAGAAGCAAATTGCCACCATTTATTAATTGAGACTCTGAAAATAATTTGTGTTTGCACCAAACCAACATCAACGTTCCACAGGGATTTAGCAGTATGTTTCATCATCATGTTGGCCATTCTGTGTGCAAGATCGACTGGCAAGTTGGCCTCTTGCTCAGTGACCCTGGAGATAGGCAACACCCTTCTGCAAAATTGCACAATAAACCAGGGAGGTTCATCTAAATATCACAGCTATTATTGGCAAAAAAAGTAATATTTAAAGGAAATACAATTCACCACAGTCTGTCGTATTTTTTTGCAACTCCTGAACTCGTGCAGACATACCTGCTCGTAGCAGGATGACCTGGTCGTCCAGCGGCAGCTCCGAGAAGTGGGGAATCCTCTTGGCCCACTCCACCAGAGTAAAAAGCTGTTTGTCTGCTGCCTGACAGATATTTGTCACTGGGTCGTTGGGCTGCAGGAAAGCACACGCACACACACGAAAAGAAGCACAGGCACAATGAATAGGTGTCATTTTTTTTTTTGTGTGTGTGTTTTTTCGTTATGTTAGTGTGTTTTGGCCCAGAGCCTGATCTCAGGATACCTGTGAGCTACCAATCACTGTGCTTTCACACACATAATGACGACAACATGAGTGCTACACTGGGAGTGATAGCCTGTCAAAAGGAAGGCAAGCAGGAAGACAAAACAAACAGTAATTCTGTCCCAGCTTGTGGAGGAAATACCTGCAGAGAGCTGCCGGGGAAAAAAAACAACGTTTGCTGAGCGCGCTCTATCTACAGGGAGCTTTTAGCTGAAACACTATTGGAGAACTAGAAGAGCTCAAGAGGGCCTTCGAGAGGCTCAACTGACACTTTACTACTAAACAAGTCAGAGGGAGCTTTATTGCCAACCAGAAGGGGACTGTAAAATGTGCAACCTGAATTATGTGCATAACTCATATCTACCTGTGGTTATTCAGCTAAAAGAGGTGTCCAAGATCTCTTGTTTTACCCCATATAAAAAATAAATAAATTCAGGAGCGGTGCCTGTTTTTGTTTTTCCAGTGATTTAGGAGCTTAGAAGAAAAATTGGAGTGTAATCAGTAATGTGTGTTAAATGATAAAACTAAGCTCCCAGGATTTTGTTGTCTGTTAGGCGTCCTACTGGATTGTGCTTTCAGTGCCAAGAACAAGAACACTGATTAGTTTCTCTTTCTGATAAATAGTGCAGATGAACCAGAATAAAAGCCAGAATAATTTACTGATTTGACTTTATGGGACTCCACAGGCCTTGAGGAGATGTGATCATAAAAGCAGAAAAACAGAAAGATCTTACAGCTCTTAGAAAATGAGTTTTAAAGCCTTTCATCTCTTTCAGTCCCAAAACGTAACATTTGCAGTAATGTTGCTTAATCAAATGTTGCAGTGCACAGAATTGCGTGGTAATTTTCTAATTTGGTTCTTTTTTTTTTTTAGGCCTACGATGAGTTTGTGTTAGTAATTTACATTCACTAAATATATAATTAAAGATCACGTCAACAACATCCTAAGTAAAGACATTTGAGAGCATTAAACTACTGCCATTTTTAACACATCTTATTTTTGGAAGCATTTTTAACCAGAAAGTACTCAACATCCTAGGATTCTTAGAGAACATTTCAGCTACCTAAGGTCATGGAAACATTTCTTTTTGAAGAAGAAAAAAAGAAAATAATTTGTGTCTGCACCAAACCAACATCAAATACAGCTTCTCATACGGTGTTCCTGTGCTTTAGATTCAGAGGTACAATATCACGGTCCAATGGGAATTGCCGCAGAATACTAATGCAACACATGCATACTGTATGACTACTTTGCTAAGATGAAACTCCTTTTGGACATCCTGAACAATACTGTCAGTCTTTGACAAGAAGTTTACCATCATCCCGGGAGTCCAAACCACTGATATGCATATGTATAAACAGGCACACTTTTCTTTTTATGCATAAAATTAAGTCTAGTAAATATTCTTAAATGACGCGTCCCCGTGTGAACTCGCAGTCTGCTGAAGAGAGTCAGTAACTTCTCCCCGACTTCCTAAACCAAATCCCACAGATCGATGCTAAAAGCTGGGAAGAGCCCGACATCAACTGCTGCTCTCTAGAGAAGATTAGTTCAAGATGAAGGAGAAAACTCGAATCCTGTGTTCTTAATGTGCAGGCCAAAGGCGACCCGGTCCTCTTTTCCCCGTTCCATCCCAAACAGTCTAAGATGCCTGCAGAGCATTGCAGATGTGTATCTGATGTTAATGGATATATTTATGTACATATATAGGGAGAATTTAAACCAGGAACAAAGCTTGAACTGTTCTTGAAACTAAAAGTTGTCTTATTTTCCCAATGGGGCCACAGAGACAACTGGCGTCTTATGAATATTTCAGCATCTGATCTCCGTGGGAAACGATGGACGGCGCAGCTCCGAGCGACAGTTTTCGTGAGCTGCGTTTCCTCTCAGAAACACAAACAGATTGAGCTAATTCCTTCCAAAGGGCAGGCTAGGCGAAAAACAAAGAAAAAACAAACAAAAAAAAAAGGAGCAGAATGGGGGCTCAGATGTGTGCCACCATCAGGCCACCAACCCCCAGTCTCCTCCTCTTCTTCATTAGAATAAGAGTCCCGGGATTCTTGTTAGACACTACGGGTCTCATGAATGTTGTATGGATATCTTAGCCGTGTTTACACTGACCTTGTTTCTTTGCCTCCATCGGAGGAGATGACAGGGGAGAGGAGCTTACACTTTCCTGAGACAATTTACGAGCATCGCGTTACTGTACTTACTGCTCGGGTCATGGAACAGCATTTGGGATGTTATCGGTCTGCAGGAAAAGAATCTGCACTGAGCTGTGCCACTGTAACTGTAACTGTAACCTCACTGTATGGAAACACTTGACTGGAACTGAAGCCTGCCAAAAGTCCGGAGTGAAATTTGTGTGAAAGATATTTTCCCTGTGACCATAAACAGGCAGAGTTTGTTCCAGGCGAATCGAAGGATTTACAGCACACATGCGCTTCATCATCATCATCGACACTACTTAAGAGAACTGCCAGGCTTGCATACTGTCCTATGAAATTTTCATCACTTGTGGAAGGGTGGAGAAAGATTTCCTTCTCAATTTTTCATTATTCCACTTGAACGCGACTACACCAGTGTGACAAGAGAGGGAAAGCTGAGCTGCAATGAAGATTGGTATGAAAAAAGAAATGGCTAATGTCCCTTTTTTTTTTAAAAGAGCCATTGTTCTGTTGAAGGATGAAGTCTTTAAAACCATCTTACATATTTGGTTCGATAATTTCTCCACAGAGGTCCATTTATCTCCCATTAACTCTGACCAGCTTCTCTCCCTCTTCTGAGGAAAAGCCTGGAAAAAAACATAATGCTGCCAACACCATGTTCGTCCATCTTTGTCATGATTTTTATTGATATTTACAAGTGGGTGAATATTAGAACACTCAGGAACTGTGTTAATCTATTACATAAAACCTGAAAAAAGTCAGGTTTTAGGTTGTTTTGTGACAAAATGTGAGAGATTGCTAAACGAATTCATGCTTTTGAGAGGTGCTTTAAAACCCCCCCCAAAACTTCTGGATTATTCTTTAAATAAATGTGCGTACTGCAAGCCTTGAAAAATCAAAAGTGTAAAAATAAGAGCCTCAGGTAGGACAGCGGACGATAACTTCGTTTTCGTCTCCTGAAGAAGAGATCTCCCCTCTCCTCGCCTAGTGAAGGCATATTACTAATGCCTCTTTAACTCCTGTTCTAGGTCACCATGAGATAAACACACTTTCATTCAGCCAGACCAGACCCCAGCCATTAGACAGTGGTAGCGGCCTATTCACGGTGTACACCCATGACCCGGGCCCTGTGATTAATTATAGCACGGGGCAGCGACTCTCAATGGACACCAGCAGGGGGGGTTGGACGCGGACGTTATTCAGGAAGAAAGGGAAGCCCTGCTAGTCGGGCCGCCTGAATGCTGAAACTGTGCCAAAATTGTCGGCTCTACTTTAGTGAAAGGGTCAGCGCCCCCAAATCAGAGAAACAAAAATCAGGCTGTTTGCCTTGCCACCGTTACTTCCACGTTGTTAGCAGAGACGTTGCATAACGCATTCTGACAGGAGGATAACACTGAACTAATGCAAAATGCTACAGTTTCATGCTGTTAAGCAATGCAATGCTGTTTTTATTAAAATGCAAAAACGCAGCTACTTTTGCAGCTACCATGTTGCATGATACTCAGAATTATGTTAGTGATTTATATGAATTTCCAAGAACAGATATAAACTAACAATGTGTTTAATGCAGAGTTAGCTATATTTAAAACCAAGGATGAAGTCCTAATCCAACCTCAAGTGCTGAGATGAAACTAAACACCAGAGTAAGCAGGCTATTTTTAAAGACATTAAGATTTCTGAAATGGACACAATGATGGAGGGGAAAAAATATAAACCAACAACTAAATTTGGCTTCAATGTGGTGCTCCAGTCTTCATGGGGGTAAAGCAGCACAATAGCTAAAAACCAAACATGCCAGCCAGTAGAGTGCTAAGTAGCATAGCACCTTTAGATTTAATGGTTTATAGACAAATCTGATTTTTTTAGATTTGGTTATGTAAATTATGTTTCCACAGAAAAACTAGCAAATAGGTGAATCTGTGAATGTGGAACTTCTGAAGTAGCCTAAAAAGAATATTGTGTAGAGATTAATGTCCTCTGCTTTTATTAAAAACATGACATTAAGAGTCTAAGTGGACATGATTAGTCATAGGGGAACAAAAGTAGAACTGTTAGGCTTCTCTCTTGTAATTGTGACTGCTGCTGGACAGGAAACGTAAAAAAAATAGAATAAAAGTTATTTTGCAGGAAGGATTTGGGAGCAATTTATTTGCTTCTCTATAATGTTTCCGCAGTTGGCATTTAGGACCATGCTTGCTATTTTTTAGTAAACTGTAATATCAAATAATACCATAGGAGTTTGCTTAAACTTAAAGAGTACAACTCCTAGTTCTGGACAGTTTGCAAACGTTTCTTTTGTCCGTTCAGAAGTCCTCCTGTGTTGGCGTTGGGCAGGCAACAAACGGCGAGGGAGCCAGCATGACTGAGCGCAGACACACTCAGTGCATTACTGAGTCTTCACTGCCAGGCGCTCCCTCCTGAATCCTAACTCCTCCTCTTTCTCCCTTTATGTCAACACTCATCTCCTACATTTCCATCTCCCCCCCCCAAAATAGTTCCCATTTACTCTCATAACATCCCTCACATTTCTACCTTTACTTCACAGGACATTTCCCTCCCTTTTGAAGCAGATAATTCCCAGAAGCCCTCCCCGTCTCCCTCCCGCCTTCGGGCCCTTTGGTAAGCTGCAGCGCGGCTCCGTTGCTTCCCATGTCGCAACAGAATTCCAGAAAAAGCAGCGGCTTATGTGGGATGCTTTCAGGAACAGTCTGTCTGTTGCAATATTCATCACTCTTTAGTCTCCGCTGTGTCAAAGACGGCCCAACTGATACTGGGAGGAGGACGAAGGAAACTCGCAGCTCAATAAAGAAAGTGAACAGATAAACCTAAAGCAACCACAACCAACACCAAAAATAAAATCTAAAATGAAAACAAACGGATTTGTAGCATATGAAATATTAACTATTTACAAGTAACATTCCCCAAAAAGCTATTTCCTCTCCTAAGTTTACTCGTTTTGCACTTAGTACAAGTCAAAACTAAAAAAAAAAAAAAAAATCAGAGCTATAAAAAGAAGAAATATTTTTTGAACATTTTGCCACAGATGGAAAAGCTCTAGATGATTCTAAAATATAAGTCACATCTTCAAGGTTACGCAAAATAGGATAAAATTACAATATTGTAAAGAATCTATCAATATTTTAGAAATGATTCTGTTTAAAAATGTCTTACACTGTTTGTGTGGTTAAAAGAACTTCATGAAATATCAGATAATGTGGCAGGGTTGCAATGTTATTCCAGAGTATAAAATTGTAGTGTAATCTTGTTGCTCTGCACTGTTGGTCATCTGGCTGAAAGAAGGACAGTCCACTGTTTCTGTGCTTCATCAGAAAGACAAATCCATGCAGACAGTGTGAAAGACGAAGGGCTAACACCCATAATGTGGCTTTGAAACTACAGTCTGGGTCACAGAAATATCTAAATGGTCCAATAACAGCAGGCGTGATTCATCAAATGGGTAATAATTCATAGAAACTTTTTACATTGACTCTCAAGTTGCGGCATAAATAGCCGTCGATGTTCAGGCTACCTCGAGTGGTGCTCATTAAATATTTGGGCCTCAACTATTCCCAGATGAATACAAAGAAAATTGCCTAATGTAAAGAAAACAAGCTCCACGGCCAAAAAGATGAGTAATTTGGCCTTGTTGATAAATGCTTCAAAAACAAACTACTCAAAAAGGAAATGAAGAAGGGGCATTTTTAAGAATCCCCGCCATTAGAAACTAAAATAGACATACAAAGAACCAGGAAGTGCCATTGACGACTTATTCTAATCTAACATAAGCAAGCAGGATCAAAAGAAAAATCATTAGAATATTTTATTCAGTGACCAGGCTACTTACTTTTAGCAATGCAAGCTAATAGCAACACATCTCTTTACATTTTGTACATGTTCACATTATAAATGCTACATGTATTTATGTGTGGGATGATTTATTCTTAAACAAACTTCCAGAAATGCAAATAAACTGTTCCTTACTGCAGATGGCCGCCTCTCTAAAGTCAGAATTAGTGACAAACATCCATCATTGACTTCCGTTATTTCTTTTCAACTTGGAAGTTGGAGATTTTGGCATAAATCAAAAGAAAAAAAAAAGCTCAAATGCTTTTGTAATGCTGTTTTAAAAAGTCTAAATAGTGTGGTGAAACTTGGAAATCTTAGTAGTTAATAAGCTGGCTAATTTATGATAGAACGATATTTGATAATTGCTCTTGGAGGAGACAGCAGAGAGAATACAGAACAAGAATCCAGAATCTTGAAGGCCGTACCTCGGAGCAGCAGCTTCATGATGGCTAAAACTTTCCATAGGAATAAACTCCATGCAGGAGAGAAGTTAAGGAACGGGTTGCTCCTCTCTCAGTTCTTCACCTCTTACACTCAACCAGAGTTTCTACTTCAGCTACTGCATTTTTCTCTGCTTTATTGAGTGACTTCTCAGTGCAGACAGAAAGTACTATAGGAGCCACTGAAATGCAGCTGTTACCTCCTGCACTGCAAGGTCTACAGGAGCTGCATACATTATAATTTATTTCACAAAATTTGCAGAAAAATATGGTAATGAAACAACCCACGACTAATATGGTTCCGGATTAAACTAGATTTGGTTGTGGCTCAAGAACGGAAAACAATACTGTAGAATATTCTGCACAATAAAAACCAATGTGAGCTTCATTCTATATACTGAAACAAAACAACAAGCAAGTGTTGAATATAACTCTAACTGACTTTATGCTGTTGCAGCTTTTGTGAAAACATGCTACTTTCTGATTTTAGTTAAAAATAAATAAATTGCAATTTTGCTTTAGAGGTTTTGTGAAGATATAGTAAAATTGTGCAATTTTTTAATCAAGTCGATTATTCTGTGAGAATCTCATTATGTGAAAACAGAAAAATAGAAGGGAAGAAGCTTAAACTTTAACAGCTCCGTAATTATTCTATCATCAAAGATTTCTATTATTTCAACTATTTAGTTTTGCTAATAAGCTGGAAGCTTTTTTTCTTTTTATCAGTACTATATTAGTAACAAAAACACACAATCTGATGTCTAAATTTAGGGGGATTAAACAAGCAGAAGTAGAGAATAGTGACCATTTTCAGCAGTAATGGTCACTATTTTTGACAAAAACTCTGTGTTCTTCCTGTAATCACACGGTTTGTGATTAGAGGAGAATCTGCGCTCACCGAGTTGGACGGCATCCCCAGGTTGGTCTCGATGTAGGTCTCGGTTTTGGGCTCCACCGCCTCCTCGGCCTCCAGGATCTTCTCCACGGGCATGTCCTCGTTCGCGCAGCTGGTGGACTCCACCTCGTTCTCATTCTTGTCCTTGGCTCGCTGGCGCTCCTCCTGGACGGCTGCATGTAACAAAACTGATTCCGTTCACTACTGCTGTTAACTGCCGACGTCAGCACCCACCCCGACATGTTTGCAGTTTACGCAGCTGAACACCGTTTAGCTCCCGCATGAGACAGCTGACAGGAATTTGCGAAGCCAAACTTTTGATTAAAGCTGAAAGTTTTTGTCAAGTTCAACCAACAGTCATTTTTTTCAAGCGTGTATTGACTTTAAAGGGGACCTTGGACCTATAAAAGGATCAACAAAGCACAGAAGAAATGTTCAGGGACTCCTTCCACTTTCCACATCAAAGCAACCTGTTTTCCTCTGTTGTGCTCAATGACAAACAGCTATAGCCGTCTATATACAAATCCTTCATTCACACATAAATAATGCAAGGCCTTTCACTTCTCCCTTACACCGCAAATACAGTGCCTTTCAGCAGTACTCGTATCACTTAACCACCTCAAATTTTTACATGTTTTCTTAGAGTTTCTGCGCCGACCAGCACAACACAACTGATTTTCACATTATTTGAAAAATCAAAAAAAGTGTGGCATGCATTTGTTTTTAGATACCGAGCCAACACCCTCCAGGGCAACCTTTTGCTTTTGTTACGGCTGGACAGACAGTCTCTGTAAATTCTTAAGTTTTGCAACCGATTCCAAATTAGACTTAGGTCTGGACTTGGACTGGGCCATTCAAACACATGAATATGCTTTGATTAGATAATCCATTGAAACTCTAGTTGCATGTTTATGTTTTTATTGCTGCCTAAAACACGTTTTCTTCAAGGGTTGTTCAAATCAAGTAACTCTTGTCACAGTATGATGCTGCCATTCCCGTGAATCAGCATAGTGATGTTTTTTTTTTTATTTTAAGAAGGATCAGTTGTTTTAGTTTGCTGTTCATTTAATTTTTTGTTTGTCAGGTAAAATAGCATTTGGAAGTTTTTAGTTGCAATGTGACCAAATGCAACAAAGTTCAGAAAGTTTCAGGAATATAAATACTTTTCCAACACCGTGTAAGTCTTTTATCTTTTTCTTTAACTGCATTAAAACAATAAAAAGCTGGAGTAGAAATCAATGAAGACTTTGTCATGCATTAGAAAAAAGAGATATAAACACAACTGTGTTGTTTTGGTCCTCTGATTGACTCTGAGACAGGAAATGATTTTGTTGCCGGGCAGACAGACAGACTCATAGCTGAGGCGAGAGAAACCGCATGTCCACCCTCAAGTGGAAAAAAAAAGCAGTACGGGTATGTTTTTGTCTTTTCAGAAGGCTGTAATTTATTTCATCCAAGGCACCGCAGATAAACGTTTAAACGCATTGTGGCTTTTTTATTTCAACTGAGAATTAATAGAGGGTTTTTTTTGTTAGGTGTTGCATTAAGGGAGATTTTTAGAAAGCTAATGTGACCATCCAGGTCTGCACACACCCTTAAGACACACACATTACACACTGGGTGTGCAGGACGGCCTGTCTTCTTAAATTTTCCCTGCTCTGGTTTCCATTTCAGGTTGAGAACTGGAGAGGCCTCGGCCTTGTTGTGAGGGAAAGGGAAGCAGAGGTTGTCAGAGGAGAAGGAGAAAGGGGCCCCAGTTTTGGAGAAACGGCTGTCTGGCGGTGGAGGTCAGCCCAAGGGTAGAATACTTGTGTTGGAGTCACACAGAGGTGAGGAGGGCTGAAATCATGTTAGCTTTATTCTCCCCTCTTCCCTCCTCCTCTGCTGTCCTGACTGGGAGCGCATAAATTCATTTAATCCTGTTTTTCTGTGGATTCGCTTAGCCTTTTGGGCTACTGCTGCTGCCTTGTTCGCTAACCACAGCCCTCGGGGTGCAGGGGAAAGGCGGTGGGGTGGTGGTGGTGGTGATGGGGGGAGTGGCGGTAAGCGGGGAGTGAGGCAAGAGGTAGTAAACGATAATATCCTTGAAAGAAGTACGGAGCCCAACAATGACATAAACAAAAGCGTGCAGGAAGGGACAGGAGGCCAGAAAAAGGTCAAGAGAAACGGAGAGAAATCTAAAATACTTTCTTTGAACTAAACAATCCTTAAATAAAGCTGCACTGATACAACACAACTATCGGGTTTTCTGCTCAGTCACACATGCCTTTAAAATAGGCCTTATTTTTAACAAATGTGTAAGTATTTTTGACTAGTTTTTACTACTAAAAACTAGACGGTATGACAGTATGATGCTGCCATTCCCATGTATCAGCATTTCAAAAGCTGATACATCCAAGCCAACATGTATTTGTGGGCCCCATTTTCAGTGGGCATATAATGGTCTTTTTGTGCAGAACCCACTTTAGTTGACTGAATAAAACAAAAATTAATGCACCCGGTGCAGTTCTTACTTGTGTCTCAAATGAGCTGTTTAATAAAAAAAACTTTTGAAACTGTAAAACAACTGTAACACCTGCATATATCCCAATTTTTATCCAGCTTTACTGTGGATCAAATTCATATGAAGCCATTATGAAAACTGTGGACAACTCCATCTGGGGGCTATTTGTCAGAAAAACTCTTACCCGCTTGGATCCAACTCGCAAATCTTGGGAAGGCAGCTGGAATATCGCAGCAAAAAGAGAGTTCTTTTTATTTTCATATTTTACTTTTGATAACCATGTCTTATTTTCCTTCCACAACTGTCTTTGTGTTGGTCTATCACATAAAATCACAATAAAATACACTGGAGCTTATGGTTTTAATGTGGCAAAAGGTAAAAATGGCGCAAGGGCTGTGAATACATTTGCAAGGCACTGTAATCTGCACTCTCCATTTAAAAACCTCTTTACCACAATGGAGAGATGCATTGATTTATTTGCTCAATGTGAGAAGGAGAGCTTAACAGCACTGCTGAGAGCACAAATATTCTTAACACCTTCATGGAGTGTTAAAATTCACACCTCGCTGCCTGTTTTTCTTCCCCTCACATAACAAAACTCTCCTGATTCCCAGGCCCACTGTGGCCCGATCTCTGGCGTCTCCACAGTGAGGCTCAGATCCGATCGACCACCTTTGGGTTTAATCAAAGCTGTTCGCTGGGAAAGAGGGACAGGAGAGAGAGCAGAACGTCATCGTCAAAGTTTTCTTTGTTCAGAAGATGCAACAGTGCCTTGCAAAAATTACCATGGCGACAAAATTTGTTTTTACACGAGCAAGGTCTCATTCAAGGATAAATGTTTGCACTTTGATTTCCTTGTTCAGTTGTGGTATGAGCATGGATCAATGCTCCACGTTTATTTAAAAAAGTAGGGGAAAGTTTGTTAACTGCTAGTTAATTCATGAAAACTAACATCACTTATAAATCTGCTGAACAACTGACAATATTAATCTGCACATGAGCTCATGGTTTTAGACGTAGATATAATTAATTAAATAAAGACTTTTTATCATGTGTGTGACTAAATCACTAATTAGTTTTGAAAAGCAGGAAAAAGCCTTTCCATGGCATACATATTATTGCTAGTACCCCTAACAATATCTTTAAAATAAATATATAGCTATATATATATATATATTTTATATTCATTAATTCCTTTTTAAATTTTGATCAAGGTTTCTAGGAAGCTTTGCATTTTGTTTAGCCTTTGGACTCAAAGCTGGGTGAGGACACATCCAGGTCAAATATCATTTTTGTTCAACTAGTAAGTCGTTTTCTCTTGGCACAAAGTGGATGATCTTTTCAAGCTTTTTATTTATTTATATATATTTTTTTTCTTCAGGTATTTTTAAAATTCATGCTACTGCAATAAAAAGAAGAAGTTTGTTCTGCTTCAGAATATTTTTTTTTTCAAACAAATTAAACATTAGATGAAAGGCCATGATCTCTTTCTGCTTCTGGAGGCGAAACCTAAATGAAATTAAAGAATGATTTCTGAAAAGAAAGCACACTGATTGAGGCAGGTTTGCACAGGATGGAGGTTTTGTTTAAGCAGGACTTTATCCTCAACGGTATGTGCTGTACCTTCTCTCTTCATGCCCATGGCCAAGCACTTCTGGTAGCGGCAGTATTGACAGCGGTTCCTCTGGCGCTTGTCGATAACACAGTCCTTGTTGTCACGGCAGGTGTAGGTCAAGTCCTTGCGAACGGTTCGTTTGAAGAAGCCTTTGCAGCCTTCACAACTGTAGACACCGTAGTGTTTTCCTGCAAACGGGAGAAGACAGAGGATGTTTGCCTTGGGTTTTAACAGGATGTTTCCTGGATTATGCTACAGTGAGACTCGCATCAGATAAAATACAGTAGAAACAGCAATAAATTCAGGGCATGCATGAGATTATTATTCACTAAGTGAAGCAATACAGCAAAAAAAAAGTAAAGAAAATCAATATCCAGATGACTGGTATTATGGAGAATGGTAGAAATGACTTTTCCAATAATCTCTGCTCTTTTTTTTCACATTTTGTCACATTACAACCACAGAGTTTAATGTCTCTTATTGCGATTTTATCTCCTAGACCAACATGAAGAAAGGTATAGCAGTGAAGGAAAATCATATATCAAATAAAAGTCTAGGGATTGTGACATGCATACAAATTTAGTTCCCTTTTGTTTGACACTCCTGAATCGAAATCCAGTGCCACCAATTTCTTTTCCCACTTTAAACAGAAAACTAACACTGATGCTTTTTTTTCTGCAGGGACATGACAGCTAGAAAGAGATGGATAAAGATGGATATCCTGAATATAGCAGAACAAAAACTCTAAGCATGCAGCGAGAGCTACAACAGACTAAATTTTAGTTTGAAGATGTAAAAGCTTCTAGATATATAGTAACTGAGGAACTGAATACGTATACATGCCACACTTTTCAGATTTTTATTTGCAAAACTAAACAAATAAATAAAATAAAAAAAAAACATGCACAGTCACAATTCATTATTTGTGTATTCAGCTCTACCCTGAGTAAAGAACATCGGCACGATGCTGCGTGACACGCTATTGGCCGGCGAACCAGCCAATCCAGGATCTCCATTCTCTTTTTTTCAGTTTTCTCTCTGTGTATTAATGAATATTAAAGTATATTTGGTGTTTGAACTATTAAAATAGGCAGCGTTGTTTGAATTACTTGTGGATTAAAGATATTCTCAGATGGCTGTGGTTCTTAACTACCAAATTACATGTTGGTCTAAGACGTAAGTTCTCTCCAAAGTAAAGTAAAGGTTTGTGTCTGTAACATGAAAATACATGAAGATTACATCTGTTTTTCACCTTGGGTCAAAGCAGACATCCTAATGCTCTCCACAGGTGCTTATTTATGTGACACACAGCTCTGAACAAATAACTAAGACGAAGTGCGACACTCAAGTTGTGCTCAAAACGCAAAAACAGCTGCTACCCAACAACCTGCGACTTACACATGGTGCTAATGCGCAGTCATGTTAGCAGCATATGGGAACGGTGGTTTGATAATCATCTGATCATAATTATTTCTTTGTTCTTGAGTTTGTAGTTGATGTTGTGGTTGTGAAAGGAAACAAAGACTCACTGAGGACAAATTCCACCAGGACTCTGTTCTCATGTCGGCCTCTTGTTCCCAACAGCTACGGCTTTTGTTTTTTATGATGGATGGAGCCCATTTTCCCTCTTCAGTATTGCTCAATCTGCTTCTTTGTTCAATATCTGCTGCTTAGACCACCAGAGAAGATAAATAAAGCCTTTGAGCAACACCAAATGAAGCATGACTAGCTATTTAACACTGTTTTGATTCTCCCTCCTCCCTATTGGGCAGAAGCAACTCAGATGATGCAGAATGACAACAAAATTCACCTAAACCCCAAAGGTTAAAAGCTTTTAACGGTCATCCCTGGAAAATGATTCAACAGAGATCTATTTGTTTATGCTGGAAAAGGAAAAATAAGAAATTTCGTACATTTTTGACTCTTCAAAAACCTTCAGAGTTGCTCATTCTTAAAAGTTCCTCTTTTTGAAGTTAATTCCAGGTCAAATGATAACTCGTGATTATCATAACTGTGGAAGGAAGATGCTTTGTTAAACAGCGCTTTTAGCAATGTCAGATTTGACTTTTCAAATCACAGTGAACAATTTTGAAATATTGAATAAAGTGTAAAAAATATACTTCGCTGATTTATTCTGCAGATTTACACTTTTTAAAGCCACAGCAAATTTAGGCCAAGTTTTGTCAGAATTATGTCACGAAGTACAAAATGCTAAATTAATAAGCTATTGTGTTTTGTATTTGACACTGAAGAAGAATACATTTCTATTCAGTCCAATCTGTTTATTTTCACCTCCAGCTGTACCTCTGTTACATTTTTCCCCCCACTAATAACATCAACGTTGTGCAGTTTCCCGCACATACAGTATTTCTCTATTTCAGTAGAAGTTGATGTGAGGTTTGGTTGACTCATGATTTATGTTTGTTCTGAAGGGCCTCCTTGCTGCAGCCTTCATGTGCTCCCCCCCACCCCCCACGTGTGGCCAGACTCTGGCTTCCCTACCACATAGCCGAGATTTCTGAAGAATTACGCTGACTGTTGTCTGTCCAGGAGGAGTCCCGCTGCAAGAAGCTGCAGTCTGTAGTTGTGCCAGAGCGGTCAGCGGGGTTGCTCTCTGCCGACGACCGTGTTTAGATCTCCTTCGGAGGTTTTTTAGTGCGGCTCCAGAAGGATTAAGCAAGATTTGGGGTAGTCCGACTTCCTTTTAATTAGGTAATAATGAGAGACGTGTCATCCGAGCTGTTTACAGATTATTTCAAACCTTCCAGGGATCAACAGCTCATGATGATATAATCGGGGAGAGAGTGGGGTAGAGTTTCTTTTCTGTTGATTTTGATGAGCTCATAAAATCCCCAACAGGAGACCAATAAAACAGATTTCAGGGGAGATATTATTATTGTTTTATGGGGATGTTTTGACCTTCACAAATATAGACTTTACAAATGTCAATAAAAAGGACTGACCGTACGGCGCTATGAGCAAGTATATTAATGAAGTTTAGTGAAAGAAAAAAGTCTCTGTGCTTTTTGAATCTTGGACTTTGTTTAACAATCATCTCCACGGCTTGGTTATGCCTGTTGCTTGTGCAAGTTTCTACTTTATTTTTTCCTTTCACTCAATTTCACAGTACTGTGCATGGATGCATCACTATGTGGCTTACCCTTGCTTTCTGTCTTACCGTTAAAGATTGACGTCAGTTAGTTTCCATAAGAAAAACCTTTTTTTCTTAGCTAAAGTGACCATTTTGAAGATTTTGCTATGAATTCTTAAAGTATAGCATTCTGTGTGTAATACATATACAGAATATATTAACTAATTTTTATTTTTGGGGGGAATAGTGGCCTTTAATTATGAGTAGCAGGACAGGAAGTAGGGTAGCGAAAGAACACAGGGAATCGAACCCATCGAGCTAAGTGAGACGGCAAAATTCACGTTTTGAATGAAATGACTAATTGAACTTGTCAATAACATTCCAGTTGACTGAGACACACCTGTATTGTGCTGTATCGATGGCCGTCCCGGTGTCGGTGCACTCACCTGAGGAGCGGTCGCCGCAGATGGCGCAGATGTGCTTGGTGAGCGACAGAGCCGTGCCTGAGGGCTGAGCGGGCACCTTCATCACGCCATTGAGGCCCAGCGGGGGCTTAATGTCCTCCGTGCTGCTGACCGAGTTCATCGGAGAGTTCAACTGAAACATCAACACACACACAAACACACACGCCGACGGGTCACTAAAGCAGACCCTCTGAACTCAAAACAGGCAATATTACACACTTCACTGCACAGCGGCTGCTGGATAGTTTCTGTTGAGTTAAATACAAGTTACCTAAAGCAGACATTGGAATGAAGTTTGTCATGTGGAGTTTTAACCAACTGACCAAACTTCAGAAGAAAAAAAAAAGGAAATTATGTAAAGTGAATTATTAGCAGTTCCAGTAGTTTTCTTTCCCTCCTCTCCGCTCCTGTTTTAGATCTAAATCTGGTGCAGCGGGGATGCTGCACCACTCAACCTCAGAATCTCTTTTATTCATGCCCCCTACAAGCCCCGCTGGCTCCAAAATGCTCAATGCTAGCATAACTACCCTGCAAAATTTAACAGCACAGCGGAATAAAGAGGCAGAATTTGTTGCAGCAGCAGTGCAAACTGCAGCTTTTAAACACAACTTCAGCTGCTGCCTGATACCTTCTGTTTGAGAAATGTTCTCCCAAAGAGGCCTCCCTTTGCCTTATGTTGAAACCAAAAAGCCAGGAGGTTCAAATTATTTCAACTGCCTAAACGTTGCTTCCAGAGAGGATAAATGTTGCATGGCCAGATGCACGTACTTCACAATGACTAAATGCAGTTCATTAAACAAGCCAGCCAAAAGAACTACCTCATAACAAAGTGAGAGACGTTAAAGTCTGCTAGTTCAGCACAAGTTGGCAAAGGAAATGAAAGCTGTTTAATTAAATATATACATGTGGACAACACCTTTCTCAGCTTGAGAACGCGCTCTGGGTGTAGGACAGAAAATCACAAGTGAAACATGTTTTGGTTTCATACAAGATCTCTTCATGTTTACGGTCATCTGACAAAGTATGGCAGATACTCAATGAATTTTGTTTTATTTTTTATAACTGTCACTTAGCTATATAGGATAAATAGAGTTAATATTATTTGTCAATTAGAATTATTTGTCAATTCTTTAGCTCCACATGTCACTTTTATATGCAGATTTGATTCTGCATTTCACTGTACTTCTATATTTCTCTATATTTATTTGTACGAGATCTATGATTGGCTGTTAGTCCATCCCAGACATCCTGAGACTGAAATAAGTCTGGACGAGATTAGCTTAACGTTTCTTTGTTTTTGCAGAGGAAAGTTTTAAGAGCAGTTTGTGAATATAAATTTATATTTGAGAACTTTAGAAATGTATCCAAAGTAATCAAAAGCCCCAAATGTTCTTCATTCAGGGCTTTTAGATGAGCTGGAAATTTTTCATTTACTTTCTCATCTTGTTAGGATAAATTGTGAAGTATCATGAAGTAAAAAGAACAAGCCAAATGTTATTCAATATCATCTAAATGTGTCTTTGAAGGCGTTTTAAAATCTCTAAGTGATGCTAAAGCATTAAGTTTGCAGTGAAGATTATTTTGTGACCGAGGTTCAAAATAAGAGAATGCAGTTCTGCACAGTTCAGACCAAAGTCTGGTAGAGAAGAGAGAAGCCAACTCATTCATCATAAATCATAGGAGTTTGGAGGTGTGACCCAGAAAAGCTTTGAACTTAATATATCTTGTCTCGTTAAACTAATCAAGTGCCAAGAAACCAAATGATCAAGTACAGGTTGTTAATCTATTAATCTAGTCAATCTAGAAAAATATTGTCAAAACAGAAACTTTAAGCATTTGTTCCATTTCCAGGTTTTGGGTGTTTTTTTAGCACTACTGTATCTAGCTCCATAATGCAATTCAGCAATTTTCATTAGACCTTCCAGCTACGGGTCAGAAAACTCCCTTACAGTAATACTGAACATTATGCTGCTGTTCTCACAGGGCTACATGAGCTGCTGTGGCTCCAGGCCTCTTTTTTCATCTTTTTTTTTTTTTTTAAACTCCAACAGCCCAGACTATGAGACCTGCTTAACAGCATCGCCACGAAAAAACGCAGCTTATGCAGTCCGTCCATGAACAGAAATACTCCTGACCACAGTGCTCACCATCAGCTGAAATAGAAAAATTCAAAAATACAGATTTCTTTGCTTCCTTTCATCCAGGCTTCTGTACGATTCAGCATGACATATGGAGTGTTACAGCAACTCTGGGAATATGGGCAGAAATTCAGACTGAAAGGGTTTGAATTATTGACAGATATTTCCCAGACGCATCCACAAAAATGGATGATTTTACTGCAGCACAGGAATATCTTTAGATCACTCTGTGTCATCACCTCCTGGTTTGACCTTTGTGATTTATTTTTTCATAAGAACACAAAAAATGTTACACACAATCAAATATTAATGTTTCACAAAAGATTTAATCTGAAAGAAAAAGTCAATTGCTAAAAAAAAGGGAAACTTTTTTTATGGTTTATAGTTGGAAAGATCAAAAATCACAAAATTCAATAAAAAACCAACAAAAAACATAAATGGCCTACAAAATCTGACTTGGCAGTTGTTGAACAGTCAGTGACACCATTCATGAGTCACATTAATGCAAGAGAAATAATATTAGTAATGGAAGGTTTAGTGGAAGGAAAAAGTGGAGAAATCTCATGTCGTCTGCTGCAGTTGGTCCTGATTGTTTTACCAAAGACAGCACAGCATAAATGCAAACCTGGTTCTTCCCCAAATCACAGCTGTGTGCATTGAATCATGAGAAAGTTGCCCTAATCAAGTGGTGTACAGTATAGATTTCAGTAAGCTGATATTTCAGTAATAAAAATAATTTTTTATTCACTTCCTCTAATATTATAAGTATAAATATGCTCCTGTCATATGTAGAAAAAACACTTTTTGTTCAGAAAACCAAAAGAATGAAGAAAAAACGGGGAAAAAAAGACCTTATTTGAGCTACAAAAGCTGAAAACATGACGTGACTCCACGTTCATTTACAGGATTACAAACACTAACACACACACTCACAGTATGAGGTCTTACCTCCCTCAAATGCCTGACTCTAGTTTTTTTTTCCCCCCGTAGCGCAGCACTCGCAGAGCTGTCTCCTCAGCCAGGATTGTCTCTATCAAACCCTCTGTCTGTCTGACAGAAAAGATTCTGCCTCTCACAGGCTATTTTCAGTAAACCTGCAACTCAATCCCAGCAAGACAGAGGCAGAAAGCCTGGGAGGGGTGGGCAAACTGGGGGTAGGGGGGGTTTCTTTCTCTATTGCCAATGGCAATAGAGACAAGGCAAGGGGATTAAAGTAGCTCAGGACCAGCACTGGAAATAGAATACACGAGCTCTCCCTTACAACACACACGCAAACACACACACACACGCACATACACACACACATGCTTCACAGGGAGGTATATCAGCTGTAGGTGGAACTACACTCCTCAGGGAAACCCCAGCTACAATACTTTCCTCAGCACACAGGGTCAAAGGCTAATAGGAAGCCTTAGACTTAAACTTCATCAGAATATGGAGGAAGAACGATTCATTTCAAGGACTGAAATGTAGGACAGAAGATTTCCTGAGGAACAATGTACAGCGTGAGCGGCTGGAACGCTCCAGCTTAGGAACGCTTCGTGTGCTGCAGGTGTTATGTAACGTGCCGTGAAGGACGTCTAACTGCTACAGTTTCTGCTAGTGGGTGTCAAATTCGTCGCAGAACTGTTGCATTTGATTATACGTTCTGTGCTGGAACACGGAACGTCACATTAAACAAGATACGTCGCGAGCTTCCTGGGGAAAAAGCGGGTCCATTCAGCTGTTAGTATGCTAAGAGTGCACAGAGTGGAGGAGTCGTCCTTTGAGGCAACAGAGGACGAAAAGGAAAGAAGAGCCGAAACAAAAGAAGCCCCAGCCTAAGACGGGCTTAGTGTGATTCAGAGTCGGAGCCCCACAATGGCAATTCAAACAGAGAAAGCAACTCCTCACATGGATCTTCACCTGTTTCTTATTCAAGGGCACCTTGGTTGATATAGAGGAACTTATCTTTAACAGTTTTCTTCTAAAACGCTGTAATGGATCTCCTTCAAAATGCTTTCCAGTATGCAGCAGGAATAGAGCGCTCCACTTTACAATCCGCTGTTACAGATCTCACTGCCCGCCACTGTATCACCGACTGCAAGCTGCTTATCTTAAGTATGATTAATTTTTTGTAGCTTTAATTTACTTTTGCCTCGAGGCGTGAAGCTTTAAAAAAAAAAAAAAACATCCAAAAATAGAATGTGAAGTACCAGGAAGTCAGCGGGCAGTGTTCAAATCCCCTGTTGAAAGAAGGGAGAGGCCTAAATGACAAACTCAGGAGAGGTGAGGACAGGGATCAGGTCGAGATCTCGCCTCCAGATAACCCCCGCTGCCCTTTCACCTCTGACACCTTGTGACGATCACTTCCTCCTAAAAGCAAACTTATCTGGACAGCTCCGCAGAGCACGGGAGGAGCAAGGAGGAACTTTCTTCTACTAACTGCGGTGTGTGTTTGTGTGTGAGAGTCTTATCCGGACACATCAGCAGAGATAGTGGATCAGGTTTCACACAGGGAGGCCTGTTAATGGACCCTTGACTAGCCTGTGTGCCTTCAGGGGATCCCAGTGAGACAAGCCCCTCTCTCCTGGGACCGTTTGAATATCAGACACCGGTTTGAATGCAAACCTTTTTTTCACCGCCACGTTACATTTTCGACTCAGATTTGATGGTAAATGGAACAGAGTCCGGCCAGAACGAGCAGATAAGAAAACTATTCCTGGATATGCAGTCAAAATGGCCGCATCACAAATCCACCTTTTAGGAATCTCAATTTTTGGCGCCAAAATCTTGGCGTCTATGGAGATGGAAGCTGCAAACGCAGCAGAAAATCTCTTGTCTGGGAAATGATCCGCATTAGTGAGGACTAAGTGAGCAAGTAATTATTTATCAACCATTAACAAAATCCGTCTGTGGTTACATAAAAATTCTTTTAAAGCAATCCTTCCTGTAAAACAACTTCATGATTATTGTCGGAGGCTCTAATAAAACACAGTCTTGGCTTTCTCCTAGC